TTGCAAAGATAAAGAATGTAAGAATAAAAACCAGTTTTGCATATTGAGTCATCAGTTGCTTTGCTTCCTGCTGTTTTAGTACTTTGTTACTAGCCACACTCACATTGCTGTGTTTATGAAGCCCAGAACGATTTCCCCTCCTATCAAACACTAGTGTAGTCCCTGATCCCTGCTGATATAACTCTTTCCTCTTCTCCCATAGTCCCTAGTCCACGGTCATCACTGCTGTAGATGCAGATTGTATGACAGCATCATTTTAAGAAAATATGTATACTAAGGACAATTGGCGCAATGTGATAAATGTCTTCTTTTATAATATTGCAGTATTCAGAGAAAACTACTATCTTCATCAGAGAAAAATAATGTGAAAGATGCTACTTGGAACTGTGTGAAAGATGGAGGCATTTGAAATATAGGCAGGTCATACACCATGATGACATTTTATAAAGCTATTCCTGAAAATCCAAAACATTGAGTTTGAAATACCACAGGAACTTTTATTAGGTATTTAACTCAGAATGAAGTTATTCTCTATGATGTTGGTAGTATTACTAGCAAAGCAAGTGATGACAGTAAACAAATTGAATCAATGCTAGATGTGTTAATTAAGATAGAGCTGTGAGTCATAGGTCCCAGTACAGCATAGAAGGCATGTCATATTACAGAGCATGTAATATAACATAAAGTAAAAACTTCAACTATAACAGAAAAATGTCTTGGGAAAAAATGGACTATTAAATCTTTCCTAGACCATGACAAGTCTAATTTCACAATAAAAATTAAGGAATGTTATTAAAGGGGCCTGAGGTAAGAGGTGGAATTTAAGGAAAGCCAAGAAAATGAGTACACAAATTATGAACTGATGCAGAATGAGTTTTGAACAAAGAGAAGGACCTGGTCCTTTCATGCTTTATAGGACTCTGCAGGTACGAGTGATTTTACTTTTTACTACTGTTTAATGGGGACAGAGGTTTTAGAAGTCTTTAACACCACAGAAAGATAGATATAACACAGAACAGTAGGATATGTGAGGATCTGTCAGAGTCAGATCTGCTCAGACCACTAATTTTTATTAAGTGGGGACAAATATCGCCACTCAGAAACTGTAGGTACAAGGCTGCCTATCCCCTCCATAGTGTGCATAATCTTTTCAGCTTTGTTCCCCTCAGAGAAACAGACCTCTTGAGTTGCTTGTTCAGATTGTCAACTAATACTTATTGGATGCCCAATACGTAGAAGGCATGAATCTTAAAATTTGTAAATAAAAAATGTGGTCACAAAAACATGTCCTGCAAGTACTTACATTCCTACATAGCACAGAAGGCTAGAAGAGTAAAGGGAAAAAAAAAGTATAGTGTAAAGCAATTATCAGGTGTGCAACTGTATAGAAAAGAATAAAAGTGTAAACAGAAGTTTAGCAAAGAGTGGAACAGATGGGAGTATAACACCATTGTTAGGAAACTAGTAGGCTTTTACAGGGGTGATACCTGGGCAGCCACAGAGATCCTCGGACACAGAATATAGGATAGAAGAAAAATAGAGTCATCGATCAAAGAAAATGTTAAATCTAAAACATTACCACCACAAAAATAAAAAGGAGCTAGACACACCAAAATTGTGTGAAATATTAATAGGAATATTGTTAAAGCACATTTGCTTCTTGTTGGAAAATACAAAATTTGTCAAAATTTAAAATTAGAAAAAAAAAACTGTAAAGTATTTGGGAAACATTTTTTTCCAGTACTGGTAACATATCCATACTTCTATAAATAATGCTAGCAAAATTGAAGGGGTTAATTACATACATTAAAAGAAGCTATCAAAATATCTGGGCACCTGGGTCTTTTCTGAGACTGTTTCTCCAACCAAGGACCATTCATGGAGATAACCTAGAACCCTTGCTCAGATGTAGCCCATGGCAGCTCAGTATCCAACTGGGTACCCTAGTAAGGGGAACAGGGAATGTCTCTGATATGAACTCAGTGGTTGGCTCTTTGACCGCTTCCCCCTAATGGGGGAGCAGTCTTGCCAGGCCACAAAGAAGGACAATGCAGCCAGCTCTGATGAAATCTGATAAGTTAGGGTCAGATGGAAAGGAAGGAAGACCTCCCCTATCAGTAAACTTGGAGAGGGGCATAGGAGGAGATGAGGGAAAAAAAAAAGTGAAGGAGCTAAAATACAGGTTAATCTAGGGGCATACATGATCAAATATGTTATATCCATATACAAAATGTCACAAAGAGATCCATTGTATATATTAGTATTAGACATAGAGCAAGCAGTAAGCAGCACTCCTCCATGGTTTCTGTGTTAGTTACTGCCTTTTGGAGTGTCCCTGACTTTCCTCAGTGATGAGCTATGACCTGAGAGTATAAATCAAATAATCCAACTCTCTCCTCTGGGCTGCATATTTCTGCTCACAACTCAGATGACTTCTGAGTTCTTGGAGGCCACACCAATTCTAGGGACCCCAGGTAAGACACTGCCTATGACCTGATAATACTACTTAAATCTCTCCCTAGACCCCAATGGCACCCTCTGCCCTGGGCTCCATATTTTGGGAAACAACTACAAAAGATCATCCTAGATGAGGTAACCCATATTCAGAAAGACAAATATGTTATGTATTCACTTGTAAGCAGATATTAGCCTAGCTGTAAAATAAAAAATAATCATACTACAATACACAGACTCAAAGAAGGTATATATCAACTGACAAAGCATGAATCTTACTGTGGAGGGAAAAGAGAATAGAATGGAGAGTAGATGGGGTGGTGCATTGGAAACCACTGAGGTCAGGCAGAGGGAGGACAGAGGAAGAGAGTACTGGAAAAGACAATTGGAATGGGGTTGGGGGAGGGTTATCTCTGAGGTAAACTAGAAGTCCAGTGCAATAGAAACTCCCAAGGATTTCTGAGGGTGAGCCTAGCTAAGACTGCTATGGGAAACATGGAGCCTGAACTGGCCATCTTCTGAAGCCAGGCAAGACTTTAAGTGTAGGGACTGGGCCACCAACCCCCACGACAAGATCTTTGACATGCAATTTCTCCTACCTACAAGATATACTAGAGAAAGTGGAACAGAAACTGTAAAACTAGCCAGCCAATGACTGGTCCATCTTAAGACCCATGCCATGAGAGGAAGCCTACCTCTGACATTGCCTGGAGGGCCAGGAAACAGAGTATCTATAGCTCAGAGGAAGATGGGGGAAAAGGATTTTAGGCGTCAGAGAGTCAAAGACACTACAGGAAAACCCACAGAATCAAATAACACGGGATCACTAGAACACACAGAGACTGAATCAGCAATCACAGAGCCTGTATGGGACTGACCTATGCTGCCTATATATATGTTAGAGTTGTATTGCTTTGTCTTCTTTTGGCACTTCTAACAGTAGGAGCACGGGTTGTTTCTGACTCTGATGTCTGCTTTTGGAACATTTTCTTCCTGCTGGGTTGACTCTTCCTGACTTAATAGGAAAGAAGTGCCTAGACTTATTGTAACTTGATATGCCATAATGAGTGATATCCATGGATGCCTTCCCTTTTCTGAAAATATAGGAGGAGGACAGTATGGGGAAAGGGGAAGAGAGTAGGTGGGTTTAAGAGACTGGGGGAAGAGGAGACAGGGGAATCTACAGCCGGGTTATAAAGAAAATAAATAAATGAAGTAAGTAAAATAAATCCTTTTCTTCCCTAATTTTGCCTTTGGTCAGAATGTGTTAACACAGCAACTCAAAAGTAAATCATAAGGAATTCTATGAGGTTGCAGAAACGTGGGGAATTGAGAACAAGGCTTTCAAGGTTACACTCAGTCCTTGTTCACTTTTTTCTCACTGCTTCATCTTTTCCATTGGGTGAGCAGTGTCAGGAAAACACTAATAATACTATTTTATTGTCCTTCACCTCAGACGCAAACAATGCACGTTGTTAACAAGTTTTAAAACCCTGAGCCAAAATAACCCTCCTCCTTTGAAGATATATCAATCAGGTGTTCATCACAATAAACAAAATCCACATAGTTTGCTGCCTGTCTTTATTCAGGTAACTTCTTAAGCAACTAATTATATTGTGTTCTCTGGATTCATAATGAAATAGTATTGAAGGAAAAACATATGTGGATAGACTGAACCCCCCAAACTTCTTGGCTCCATGAAGAATAAAAACAGTAGAGTCAAATGCAATTCACAAGACAAACTCAATGAATATTTAACTCTCAAATTTATTTTAAAGCACAAAAAAATAACAGTATAAATAAAAACAAGTCATCTACAAAACCCAGCATTCTGTTCTTTTAACTGGGGTGCAGTGCGGAGGGGGTGTGGCACAGAATCTTCAGATTCCTGCAGTTTGCAAACATATAATTACTGCAATGTCACAGTTTGATATTGCACAGTAGAAAAGATTTAGCAAGGCAGAGAAACAAGCATTGGGCATTCAGATAATGGAGCTTGAAGGAAATGTGGGAAGAAGTCAAGATTGTAGCCCTGAGTGGGCTACTCTGTGAGAGCAGAGTATTAGGAATCCTAGATGGGATACCAGAAAGAAAAAAAGAAAATAAGAAAGAAAAGAAAAGAAAACTGAGTGTAAAGGATAGGCACTATTAAACCTGGCTTTTACAGAAAGTAGTAATATTTGTTACCTTTCAGTTTACTTCTCTTGATATCCTTTATAAATATTACCATATATCTCAGTAACTGTAACACAAATCTGTAAATACACACCAACGGATTGCTAGGTCCTGTCAAATTTTTATTCATTTAAGAACCTACTAATAGACTTACAACTTCGGCAGGTTTCAGATAATACCTTATAATGTAGCTATCAGGATGATAATAACCTGACATTAAAGTTGGGAAACTAGAATATAGACTGTCAGTGACTTTACATTATTTTATGTACTTGTAATATGGTTGTTTCATAAATAAACCTAGAAGGAACTGTTAATACTAATATGCTTAGCCTCTTGTTTCACGTTTAATAGGTGCAGATGCATCATACCTGTGGGTCTCTGTAAGTTTTTTTGTACTAAGATCCTCCTCAGAGTGCCATCCATCGCTGCTTCTTCTATATGGGAGTGATCTCCAATTACAGTCCAGTACATCATCCTGAAGAAAGGAAGTCAAGGAGATTAGCTTGGAGATAGTGCTGTGAAAACTGTCTCCTTCCTTTACCAGTGTCCCCTCAGATCACACGTGTCAGCATAACCCAGTCCCCTCATTAACCAGATTCCTGATCCAACTTGAAAACTGTACAGTGTCCAGCTTCAACAGTCTTGCAAATCAATACTGTAAATAAAATCTTACCTAAATGTAAACTCCTATCACTTGAAAGTGTATTATAGTGCCTGATTATTCATTTGAAATTATCTTATAGTGACATGTTACTCAACTTATCATATATAATACACAGGTAATTGGTTAAAAAGGTAAGATGAAATTCTAAAAGGAAACTGACATGAAATTGGAAGGAGGACATGGTGAAGAGAGGAATCTAAAGAGAGTCAGAATGGAGAGTGGGAGTGACAACATGACGAAAATATATGCATAAAGTCCTTGGAGGAGTTAGGGGGAATGTGGGAAGACTAGAGAGAGGGGAAACAGTTTGGGATGTATTATATGAGCAAAAAATGTGTTTTCAATTAAAAAATATAAAATTAGAATAAAGTCATTAGAATGATAGCCCCACCCCTCAAAGAGTACTATTTTCTTTGTCTTTTCTTTTTCCAGATAGGATAGCTCAGGCTAGTCTCAAACTTCTTATCTAGATGAAGCTGGCCTTGAACTCAATCTAAGTGCTAAAATTACAGGCAGTACTAAGTAACTGAAAAAGAAAGGTCTTTTTCGTTTAATGGATACCATATTCTATTCTAGTAATTGGGATTCTTTTTAGATATTTAAGATTTTCATTTAACATTATCTTCTTTTCATTATTACATGAAAGCTTTTCATCAAATACAATAGAAAGGATTTATTCAGAACAAACTGTCAAAATGTAAAGAAATTTAAATCTTCATATTTTGTTGTTCTTAATCTCCAAGCATTGTCTTTAATATGCTTAGCAAACACATACTAAATTCATAATGTAGAAAACAACTATAAAAGTATCTTGTGTCAACATCTGGAAAAGGAAACAGATCTGAGAACAGTATGGGGATTGTCAGGTCTCAGAAATCTGTTCCCCGGTGAACAAAACTACAGAACACTATCGATGAGCATGGATATTCACATTATATTGAGAAACAGAAACACCAAGCATCAACCTACCCTCTTTTAGGATTTACAGCAATAGCATAGGGCTCGCCAGCCATATTGGTCAAGAGTCTGGTGCAGTTGGGGCCGTTGAACTGTCCTACATTAATGGAGTACCTCAGGCTGGTCCAGTGAGTAGTATAATAGCTGAACCAGTGCATTCTAGAATGATCAGTCCAATAAATATTTCCTGCAACCCAGTCAACTGCAATGTCTCGTGGCCTTTTAAACTCAGGACACTAGAAAAAAAAAAGATAAAAGAAATACACCACAATATTTTCAGGGGAAAATTAGCATCATTATATGTATTTACACACTGGAATTGTGGGGATAGCACAGAATATTCTAGCTGTTATTACACATTTTTTTTCCAGAATTACAATCAATGTATCTATTGAGGAAGAACAGTATCTCCTATTCCTCATTTTCGCATAATGTCACATATGAAATTTACTCATATCTTTTAATGTGTCAGTTACCAGTGTTCTTTATGTATGGATATAATTTCATTTTATGAAGATATACTAACTTGCTTAACATTCAGTCAGTTCTGTCCATCTGAATTGTTTACAAGTTTGTGGCATTGCAATGAACACAATGAACATTCTTATATATGTCAATCAGAAGATACATATTCAGTTTTTTTAAAATATTTATTCAGTAACATAATGATTTAATCCTAAAGTATACATAGATAGTGCTGGAAAATCTTTTTCAAAGACTTTGACTAATACACATTTTCTGCACTGGAAGAGAGAGCAGATTTCTCTGGATCTCTGCCACATACAGTTGGCTTTAACAATTTTTTTAATAAAGTAGTATAGACATACACATTTACAGAGCAAAAAATTTCTGTGTATTTTTAGGAAAGTTGTGTTTTTTAGGAAAGTTGAAATATCTGTCTGAGGGCTTGCCTATTTTAATTATTATTTTATTGAGCAATAATGAGAAATAGGTAAAAGTATTCATAGAAAATTTTAGCAACTGAATCCCCTTGATCTCTTTTAATGGTCTTATTGCTCTAGTGTGGACTGCAAGTACTATGTTGAAAAAGTATGGAGAGCGTGGGCTGCCTTGCCTTGTCCCTGATTTCAGTGGGATTGCTTTAAGTTTCTTTCCATTTAGTTTATGTTAGCTATAGGCTTGCTGTATATTGCCTTTACTATATTTAGGTAAGTGTCTTGTATCCCTGATCTTTCCAGGACTTTAAACATAAATGAATGTTGGATTTTATCAAATGCTTTCTCAGCATCTAAGGAGATTATCATGTGCTCTTTTTCTTTCAGTTTGTTTACCAAACAAGGACCATGAATGGAGATAACTTAAAAGCCCTGCACAGAAGTAGTCCTGGGCAGCTCAGTATACAAGAGGGTTCCCTAATAATAGGACCAGAGACCATCTCTGACATGAACTCATGGGCTGGCTCATTGATCACCTCCACCTGAGGGGGGAGCAGCCTTACTAGACCACAGAGGAAGACAAAGAAACTAGACATGATGAGACCTAATAGACTCTGGTCAGATGGAAGGGGAGGAGGATGCCCCTATCATTGGACTGGGAGAGGGGCATAGGAGAAGAAGAGGGAGGGAAGGTGGGATTGGGAGGGGATGGGAGAGGGGGCTACAACTGAGATACAAAGTAAATGAATTGTTACTAATAAAAAAATTAAAGAAAGAAAATATTAGCAAAATATATATTCTGAAGCCTTTAGTTAACTTTGTTCCTTTGAATGGAACTAATATATTAATTAACTTGGCATGGTCAAGTTTATTGTACATAACCAGAAGTAAGAAGGGATTTCCAGGGGTATTATATCAAGAATGAAAACAACTGTTTCTGGTGAGTACTATGAGGAACTGATCCCAGTGAAGAAATGCTATGTTAACACATCAAATAGTCTTTTGTATGATTTAGTGATGAACACAAGAATATGACTATCTCAAAAAAACCCACAAACAAACAAACAAAAATCCCACAAAGTATCAAATAACAATAATTCCAAGGCACTGAATGCTGCTGACTATGAGTTTTTAAGAGAAAGGAAGTTGCTTTCACTGAACTATAGAACTCAGAGGCAATTCAGCAAGGGTGGAAAATATGTGCTATATTATTTGTATTTGCTTAGTTTAGCAGAATATAAAGTAAATATATCATTTTGTTTTCAGTGTAAATAATAATCTTAAAAATATATGAGACTAGGTGTTCATTTGCCATTCTACATTGTTTCTAGTCTATTATTGACTACTTATTATGTTTTAACACTCGTAGAACAAATATTTGCTGTGCAGAAAATATGATATTGCTGATCCATCTTGATCGTAAGAAAATATTTACTATTACTTTCATCAGATTTAAACACATAAACTCAAATTCTTGCCTTAATAGTACCACTGCAAAAACTACGGAAATTTCAACTTTTAAAATTAGTCTTTTTATAAGTTTTTATTTTATTTTTTATTTATTACAATTTACTTACTTGTTTTTTTTTTACCCATTCTATTTTTTTTTATTTTATTTTTTTTTATTTTATTTTTCTTTTTAGTTACATTTTGTTAACTCTGTGTCCCAGCTGTATCCTGCTCCCTCATTCCCTCCCCAACCCCACACTCCCTCCCTGGTCTCCTCCCTGCCCCTTTCCAAGTCCACTGATAGGGGAGGACCTCCTCCCCTTTCATCTGACCCTGTTTTATCAGGTATCTTCAGGGCTGGCTGCAAAGTCCTCCTCTGTGGCCTAACAGACTGCTCCTCCCCTGGGGGGGGGGTCAAACAGCCTGCCCTTGAGATCCTGTTAGAAATAGTCCGTGTTCCCCTTACTTTGGAAAACTACTTGGTTACTGAGCTACCACAGGCCACATCCGAGCAGAAGTTCTAGGTTATATCCATAGATGGTCCTTGTTGAGTGTCAGTCTCAGAAAAGACCCTGTGCCCAGATATATTTGGTCCTTGTAGAGCTCCTATCCTTTCCATATCATACTAACTTCCCTTCTTTCATATGATTCCCTGCACTCTGCCGAGGGTTTGGTTATGAGTCTTAGTGTCTGCTTTGAAACACTGCTAGGTAGAGTCTTTCAGATGCCTTTTGTGGTAAACTCCTGTCATAAGTTCAATGCACATCCCATTTGTCTTTCTAAATGAGGATTAATCACCTTCGCCTGTGTCCACTTTCTTGATTATCTTCTATAGGTGTGTAGATTTCTAAAGAAGCAGAAAAGCAACAAACCAAGTAATCCACTTAAAAAATGGGGAACAGAGCTAAACAGAGAATTTTCGAAAGAGGAACATCGAATGGCAGAGAAACACTTAAAGAAATGCTCAACCTCATTAGCCATTAGGGAAATGCAAATCAAAACGACCCTGAGATTTCACCTTACACCCATCAGAATGGCCAAGATGAAAAACTCAAGTGATAGCACATGCTGGAGAGGTTGTGGAGAAAAGGGAACACTCCTCCATTGCTGGTGGGAATGTAAACTGGTTCAACCACTCTGAAAGTCAATCTGGCGCTTTCTCAGACAACTAGGAATAGTGCTACCTCAAGACCCAGCTATACCACTCCTAGGTATATACCCAAAATTTGCTCAAGTACACAACAAGGACATTTGTTCAACCATGTTCGTAGCAGCTTTATTTGTAATAGCCAGAACTTGGAAACAACCCAGATGTCCATCAACGGAGGAATGGATACAGAAATTGTGGTATTTTTACACAATGGAATACTACTCAGCAATCAAAAAGGAGGAAATCATGAAATTTGCAGGCAAGTGGTGGGATCTAGAAAAGATCATTCTGAGTGAAGTATCCCAGAAGGAGAAAGACAAACTTGGTATATACTCGCTTATATAGACCTACAAGACATGATAAACATAATGAAATTTACTTACTTGTATCCCAGCTGTAGCCCCTTCCCACAACCCCTCCCAATCCCACTCCCTCCCTCTTCTCCTCCCATGCCCCTCTCCAAGTCCACTAATAGGGGATGTCCTCCTCCCCTTCCATCTGACCATAGCCTATCAGGTCTTATCATAACTGGCTGCATTGTCTTCCTCTGTGGCCTGGTAAGGCTGCCCCCACCCTAAGGGGGAAGTGATCAAAGAGCCAGCCACTGAGTTCATGTCAGAGACAGACCCTTATTCCCTTACTAGGGAACCCACTTGGAGACTTGTTAATACGTAGAGATTAAACATATAATATAGGATAAACATACTAAAATTTGTACACCTAAAGAAGCTAAGCAAGAAGGAGGACCCTGGGTAAGATGCTCAGTCCTCATTTAGAAAGGCAAATGGGATAGACATCAGAAGAGGAAAAAAATCGGGAAACAAGACAGGAGCCTATCGCAGAAAATTAGTCTTTTTATTTTTCTTCATTTATGCTGAAATACCTGGTTCTTCTTCAGTTTTACATGCATGCCCCTAGTCATTCTCAGCTACAAAACTCCATCCCTAAAGTGAATTTGGATGTTTCATTTAGTAATATTTCTTCCAGGTAACTGGCATGTTGACTACTGAGGCAAGACTAAATTCTTTAAATACAAATCAAATTTAGTTCTCATTTTTAGTTTAAGGGACACTCAGAGAAAGATGAAAAGGGCTGACATTTATTTTAAGCACCACAGATCCTGGTAGTGTACACATATAAATCTGTTCTGAGATATTTGCTCATGGTATTATTATTGTTGTTGTTGTTGTTATTGTTATTAAATTCACTTAGTATCCCGGTTGTAGCTCCCTTCATCATCTCCTCCCAGTCCAACCCTTTTCCCTCTTCGTCCCCTATCCCTCACAATAGTGAGCGTTCATTGATCTTCCCAAAACAGAGAGCTTTATTTACAAGAAGAAGACAAGGAAGAAGACATTCCTCACCATTACTCAAAGCCCCCCCCCTTTTTTAAAGATTATAATGCAATTACATCTTTTCCTTTTCCTCTTTTAAATTCTCTAATTCCTCCCCATACCCTTTATTGCTCTCTCTAAAATTCGAGGTTTCTTAATTTACTTTTCATAAGTGAAAATATGTATGTGCACATATAAATGTCTTTCTGAACACATAAATATAACCTGCTTAATCAGCATAAAATAATCGTATGTATGTTTTCATGGCTGACCATTTTGTATTAGATAAACATTCAGTGTGCTCCACCCAGGATAAGATGATATTCCTCATTTTCAGTATTCCTCAGTTTCTTGCAGTTCTTTGTATAGGGTTGGGGCCTCATGAGTGTACAAGGGTTTTGAATGAT